ACACACACACACACACACATACACGAAACCTGAAAACATTTTGACAATAGCAACAACCATCTGTCATAGTGATTGTGAATGAACATTTCACAATTGACAGCTCTCATAAAGATAACTTTTTAAGGGAGTTGTGGGGTTAGGCCCTTATTGTAAGCGTCACGTACGACACCGACAGAGATTAATGAAATCTATTCAGCTCACGTTACCGTTGTTTTCAAAGGGAACGAGTTCCTCTCGGAGAAGGTGATTAGCACACAGACGTTAATTACCTTGAATAAGGTTTAGCATTTTGCTAAATTAACTAGCAACCTAGCCAGCACCGCTGAACCGTCGGTTTGTTTGAGACGTGACAGCTGACATGACAGTTCACTGAATCACAAGATAAACCCAGTTGGACTAGCACACCGTCAACCTGTTAGCTATTTGACTCAAGGTAGAACCAACTACGTTAGCTAACCTGCACCGATGAACGTGCTAATGCTAGCGTGAGCTACCTTAGCTAGGCTAATGACATCGAGGTAGAAAGTAACGTTAGTCTGAGCGGTTGGTAGCACTATTTACAAGCATTGCTTTTCATTTATTATGAATGCAACTACGATGTTTTCAAACAAAATCCTGCTTTTGTATTTATTGTACTACAATAAAACTGCCAGAACAATGCGGCCTACTTAGCACCACCAGGCGGCACATCCCCGAGGCACAGTGGCGGAGCAACGCCCACCTTGTCGAGCTCTTCCCGGCAGACGGCGCAGTACTTCTGGTCGCACAGCACCCTCATCTTGGTGGAGCAGCGGTAACAGACCGGGTGGTCGCATTTTCCCAAGGCGAAGATGTCGACTTCTTGGCAGCACAGGACGCAGTGCTTCTCAGTGTCTTTAGCGGTTGTTGGAGCCATGGTGGTTGTGAAAAAGGCACTAGTCAACTTCAGTGATATTTTGTTATTAGGGAGAGCTGCTGGAGCGCTTACGTAATGAAAAGCCTGAGCTACGGCCGTCACGTGATCTGTGGTACCTCCGATCTGTATAGTAAGAGGATGGACGAGCTTCCTTCCAGTGTGATAGCTGCTTAGACCTGTCACATGCGTGTGCGTCTGCGCAGGACAGCACGACGGCTCCACGTGCGTCCCAAAGGTGTGCGCCAGACAGCAGACCCGTAATAGCTGATGCTGATAGGAGGTCCTGTACTTTGAGGCCCATGTTAATAATTCACAAAGTCAGAGAAATTAAATATACACTTGTACATTTCTGGATTTTAATAATGCAAGTTGCAAATATGTTGAGATTAGTAGAAGAGAACATGTAATGCTCTATAGTTATTTTAAGTGAGCACTTATAATTTTTCATTAATCATTAATATTGCAATTTCTTGAATTTTAAGAGGCATAATGGAAACCAAGCCATGGTCATTTTTTGATTCAATCCTGACCGCTTTGAATTAAATTAAGTTCTGTTTATTTTTTGTATTGCTTTATTTCACTATTTTTAAACTGTGTTTATTGTCATTTTACAGAACTTACAAATCCCTACACATATACATATGCACATCTATGTACAGACTATGTAGATAGATGATAGTTGTTATTCCTTGTTTTAATAAAAAGGAATAACAACACTAATGGAAAACCTCATAATAAAATGAATTAATGAAGAATAAATGAAGTAAAATAAAGTGGGAGGGGGAGATTCAAATAGATGAAATTATTTAAATAGATAAATCAATATATTTTAAACACTTACATGTCCAAAGTATATGCAATATAAACTCGGTCAATATGAAATGTGACACCATTGTCAAGTTTCGGTGACTTTTATTAAGTTGCTTGTAACTGTCCATTATTCTCAAAATACCACCCATTCTATCAAGGGCACGACCTTATTTCACTATTTTTAAACCTTCTTTATGTAAAAGTATGTCATTATTTTTAATCTTGCTCGTTTCTGTTGAAATATTTTTGTTTAATTTATGCATTTCACTGTTTAAAGTTGCAGTCATTGTCATTTTAATAAAACGTTTTTTCTTCTATTTTCATATCTTACCAACTTTTCAAACAAAATCAGAATAATTAGAGGGACAGGTTTATTTTTGTAAATGTTTTATTGGTTAGAGTATTTGTAGGATGAGGATGAGGTTACCATTAAGGATTTACAGTAATGTTAAAAACTTGGTTCACAAGAAAGTGAGAGATTTCCAGGAAGTTAAGTCCCATCAGGGGCTCTGTGAGCAGTGATCAGTGCAGTCAGTCAGTGCTTTAATGTGGTCAAATGTTCATGGTTGTGAAGCTAGAGCTAGCGTCTCTTGTAGTGCTTGCTGCTCAGTCCCATAACTCTGAAGGTGCAGCTGGCAATATTCTCATAGAGAAGGAACATGAGTGCAGCAGTCAGCACCGTCTGCAGCAGCTTGGCCTCCAGGCCTTTAAACAGACCCAACATGCCATACCTCCTATGGATGGAAAACAGGGTTAAAAAAACTAATAAAAAGTATCACTATCTGATGGGAAGGCTTCTTAACATTTACTAATTTAACGATCTGTCTGCACACACAAAAGCCACAGAAAGAGAGCTGCATTATTATGGTTTTAATAGTTGACAGAAGATTAAAAAGACAATGTTCAGACTGCAGGCAAATCTGAGGCATTGTTTACTCATCTGCAATGTTTCATGTGGTAACAACATAGGAGTACTGTATTTACATCTGATGCACATTAAGTCAAATAAAGAACATAACAGCAAGTTGTAAACCAGATGAATGAAGGCAATGTGCTCTCTAGTTCTTAGTGGAAATATAAAGTCATGGTGACAAAACATGTCATTTTAAATGATTCAAAGATTTGAAATCGAGCGATATGCCCTGGCTATGAATGGTTGAAAAGTAATAGTTTAATTTGTTAATTGTCACCCAGATTGCATCAAAGCAAATTGATTGTAATATGGATATGCCAAAACCAGATTTGCACTCACCTGACTCTGTTGACCAACAGACACTTGATAGTCCGTATGCTGGACAGTAGTTTTGACTCGTTCTTTGACTCGCTGAACTGACCAAACTGTAGTGATTAAAAAGAAGAAAAGAAAACCTTGTGTGTGTGATGAAAGCATATCATTCATTCTGACAGCAAATAAAAGGCTTTTATTTGTATAACAATGAGACAAATCTGTGAGGAGGGTTTTAAATATACCTTTAAAAAACCTACCCTGAGAATGGACTGTATGGTCTGCAGCGGGTACGTAACAATGGTGGCAACCGCTTTGGCAACTGCGCCGATCATGAAAAACTCAACAGATGACAGCTGAAAGAGAAGAAGAAGAAAACTTTTGTGAAAATTCATGATGAGAGGACCAGTGGAAGCCTAAAGGTCTGAGGAGTTTGCTTCTCTTGAGGGTTTACAGGATTCAAACGTCCGCACTAACTGGTGAATAAGTGACACTCACCCCCTCCTTTATCGTGAGCGTCATGTTATCCTGAACTAAAACATTTATCCGCCTTCACTCCGGTGGACCACCGAGATGTCAAAGTGTGAAAACACACATTCAGCCAAAAGTATCTGCTTCACTAGTCTCCCTCTTTTTAAGTCACACAAAAATCATGTGAAGAGAATTACTGCATGTCCTGTGTTTACCCATCCAGATGATGGGATGAGCTGAAGTAACGTCCCTCCTCTTCTTGGTTTATTACGTTATGTTATTATATGTGTTTTATTTTATTATCATGATGTGGCACTTATGTTTACCTGCAACATTACTGTATTATCATTATAATAATATATAATATTAATAATTATATTTAGGGTATTCAGTGACAGTGTATTTTTGCTCTCTCATGTTATCTATACGACATTTTTCACCTCGAATTTGAGGGATCACTGCCAGAAATGTTTACATTAAAGTCCATGTGCAATAAAGTTATATTCTTTATCATTGAGTTATATATGTTTTTCTCTTAATAGAGTTTTTTTTGCTGTTAAATATCAATACGATATTGGCATCAGTTTAAAATCACAATGTCAATGTAAATAATTTATTGACCATCGCAAAAATGTCAAGATCTCTTGTAAAAATGCCGAATAATAAAAACATAATATTGTAATTTTCAACTTAAATGACTTTGTTCCTCATACATCGTCTCCCCGCATTAGTACTTTCTAAAATGCTGCTCTGATTTCAGCACTGATCTCCTTCCACTGTCTGTGTTCTCCTGATCCCTCCCTCACCTCCCTGGGAACTCCTCTCCTCAGCTGCCTCTTCAGGCCTTCGTAAATCATGAACTGGATGGCCGGGTTCAGCACCAGCAGCAGGGACGGGAAGGTCCCGTTCCACAGTGCTCCCACGCCCTCATCACGGACGATCTGAGCAAACGCATCTGCCAAAAACAAAAGAGCAAATCAGACATTAATGGATTTCTAAATTTGAAGAAATTCCCTCCAGGCGTTCCTGAGAGACCGCGTTCACAAAAATGGACCGGACGGACAGACAACCCAAAAAAACAAAATGACATGACCATTTACCCAGAATGCCAGAGTAGTTGGTGGGTCGTATATCTGCATTGCGAAACTTGGAACCCTGAAGCTTCAGCCTGGTGTTGACCACCCACAAAGGAGTGGTGAGCAGCACGTTTACAACACCTGGAGACGAGAAGGCAGACGAAAAATCAAGACGTGGACTCAACTCGGAGACTGAATGGACTTTCTTGTCCCGAGTCACTAAAACAAGGCTTTTATGATAAACACGACCCTCTTACCTGCTGCAACGCCTATGAGTAAGTCAGTGCTTGGTGTCGACTGCTTTCCCTTCAGGCAGCTAGCCTTCAGGCTGTGGAAGCAGTAGAAGTACACAAAGTTGGAGCAGCACAGGCTGCAGATGACCGGGAACCAGCCTCTGTACAGGGCGGATCTGCAGGAGGGGACAGCAAACACAGGAACAACTTAGAGCCCTTCTGACCACAAACAGTTTGTGCACAAATCTTTTCCAGTTAGGATGGAAATGTGTGAGGCGCTTGTGATGTGTGTGTTCATGTAACTCACAGTCCTTCCTCTTTGATAATTTCAGCCAGAATGGCTGGAGTTGATTTGGCCTTCCTATTTTCATCCACTGAAGACAAAGAAAACACAACTTGTTTTTAATAATGACATTACATTGATAACTGTAAATAATAATGGACCACTTGTTTACCTTGTAGCCTCAGCCTGGCGGTATCAAGAGGGAAGAACACTGTCATGGCAGTCACACTGCCCTAAAACAGACTGCAATCAGCTCTCAGGGAGAAGACGTAGCGCCTGTTTGTTTAATATTGAATCAATAGTGAAAGTGAAGCTAACTTACCATCGCTCCTGATACAGCATGAACCAAAGCCTCATACGATAAAACCGCGAAGCTCATTTTTAACGAAGTCACTCGTTTATTTTATGCTTCGACTAAAATAAACCCAGTGTCCACTTTTGTAAAACTCCAGCTACCAAAACAGAACAGCAGCTGGACCCTCGCTGTTTGTAATGTCGTACTTCCTTGTAGACGCGTGTCTACCTAACACGGAGGGGCATTATGGGAAATGTAGTTCTCGTCATTCTACACCTATCAAAAGATTTCGTTGCCTGTATATTTTGTCTTTTAGGGAATATTTGCAGGATCAACCTAAAGGAGGGATTCAGGAACAATGTGATAACAGAAGATAAATGTACTTATTACATTATAGAATATGTTGTGACTTTCTGCATTTAACCAGTATTTGTGTTATTAACGAGGATGCTGCTAAAGTTAAAATCTTCTTTGCAGGATTGACTTCCGGTGTGATCTAGAAGTCAATGAGGAGGACGTGTAATATGGTACATTTTCAGCACCGCAAAGACACCGTTGTGCATTTGCAGTGGGCTAAGTGGCCGTCAATGACTGGATAACAGGTTGTAAATGCACCACAGTGGTTGTCTCAAATGCTGCAGAGGAACATGAGGACATCAACCTGTAATGCAGGATTGAAACTGCACAGGTATGCACCTGGAATAATTATGAGCTGTATGGTGTTGCTGCCTTATGGCAGCAGAAAGTGTGTGCGTGGCCTCAGAGCTCAACAAACCCCATGTAGGCAGTTGTGTTTTTAACCCAAAGGATATCCAGTCCAATTGACAGAAAACATAACGATGTAAAGACGCGGCTGAATTATTGTTCAAACATTTATTTAGCTTTTTATATTTGTACTGCATTTGTATTTGTTGTTACTTTGACATAAACCTTTTTTTGTGTTGGAAACAGTTTGATTCAAAGCAGTAAAATGACGAAATAACAGAAATGCACAGAAACATACATTGTAGTATGCTTAATGCTGTTATATGGGACTCCATGCATGTTACAGCCATGCAGTGAATGTGACAACACACATGAAGTTATGAGCATTTAGACATTGAGAAAAAACAATTGCTGCTGCTCAGAGTTAAGTCACATGACCATACACCAAATTAAAATTCTTACACTTTTCAGGGGGGGAATGTGTATTAGACAAAAGATATGGCATCAACCCAACCCCTCACTTATCAACATGAACTTGAGCAAGGCACTTATATCTCAGCTACCGTGGTGGAACTGCTCAGCGAATCACTTTTCAAGGCTGGTTTTAGTGGGAAGCTCCCAGTTGTTAAATAAGAAAGCAGCAGCTTACATGCTCACACATGTCTCCTCTAAAATCATGTTTGTGACTCGTTGGTGAGGGAATTAAGGTACTGGGTTTACTGCTGTGTATGCCACTTAAATGCAACGAGGGGTCAGTGAGATGGAGCATGCACGCTCAACGTCACCTTCATTAGTGAACAGCTAAAATAATTTAAAATACATAACATTAAATCAGTCCTCAGACCATTCACTCAGCCACTCCTGACACTGCCTCCTCTGCTCCTCACTCTCCTCCCCAATCCTCTGTCCCCGGCGTCCTTTCCTCCTCTCCTCCTCCCGCCTCGCCCTCTCTCTCTTCTCTTCTTTGATCTTCCTGTCCTCCTCCACCCTGCGCTCCAGCAGGGCCTCCACGGTGGCCGGCAGAGTCCGTAACGAACGCTGCGGGAGCCACTTGGGATCCGCCGTGGGGAGAAAGGGGTCTCCAGCAGAGACCAGCAGGGGCTCAGGTTCCAGGGGAATGTGGAGGAGGTGTGCGTGCAGCATCATGCGGTACGGGGCGTCGTCCGCTCCAGAGCTGTAGGTGAAGTCCCCGACGATGGGGTGGCCTATTGCGCTGCAGTGGACCCTTAACTGGTGTGTTCGGCCTGAGGGGGGGGGGGGGGGGAAAGAGATGGTGAGGAGCCAGAAAGACTTTTCACAGCAGAGTCATGAAACACACAAGGTACTCAAGTTCAAAATAATCCCGAAAAACATCTCAAACACAAACAAATAAACGCAGCAGACTGCGAGTCAGGGCCTCAAGCAGAGAGACGCCGCAGGAAATCAGACTTTCAAACTGAGAAACGGAGTGTTGTTACCAGTGAGCGGCTGCAGTAGCACTTTGGTGACGGAGTCTCCATCGTACAATCCGTACTCCAACACCGTCAGCCCAGTTTGGCAAGGCTTCGGGTTCTCACAACCTGATGACAGAAGGAAGGGGAGAGATCAGCCAGAAAATAAAGGTGAATAGTTCAGTCATCCCAAGCATGCTTCATAAAGTATTCAACAATTCATTTAAATCACTATTAGACCTCTTAAACTCTGTGTGTGAATATTTATTTTGTTTTTATCTTCATGTGTCTGTTTTTACTTTGTGGACAAAAACTTGCTGAACAAAATTTGAGGTTTCCAGTCCAGAATTTAAAAATGTAAGACATGTTAAAAGACACACATACACACACACACACACCTTCTGTTCCCTCGATGCACATCATGTGTGTTTTTCCCTCTGAGGAGTTCTTGCCAATGGAGAAGTCCAAGGTTTGTGTCTCTTCCTCCACCCAGCCACGAACCTGGGAATCAAACCATTTATGTACTTACTTTTTAGTCACACGTAAAAGGTGTCGCACACAGACTGACATGTGGTAACAGCTCTGTTGTGTGCATGTGTTCGGCTGTGTTTGTGTCTGTGTTTCATACCAGGGCGAGGTAGGCTTTGGTGACGGTGCGGTCCTTGAAGCAGCGGTAAGCTCGTCCGGCAGCAGCCTTATTGAGGGCGACACAAAGAGCCCCACTTGTGGAGAAATCCAACTGATGACAGAACCTTTTAGAGGAAATAGAGAAACATGATGAGACTATCACTCTTTATGAGTGTACTGCATGTGACCCGATGCAGTTAGCATTTGTGTGATTCTGACCTGAATCCATAGTAGGTGCTCGGGTCTGCCAGCTGAGGGAAGCGGTGGCCGAGTTGCGCCTGCACGGTGTGCTTCTCGTACCACATCTTGCTGTCGATGCGGATGTCCCAGTGCTTGTCCACCACGATGTAGTCGTCGCTCTGGTGCAGCACACGCAGGCTCTCCAGGCTGGCCGACTCTGTTGTCATCGTGTGCAGTGCTTAACTCACACAACTCATCCAGACCTGCAGGACAAAGGTGTTGTCTTCATATTTCCATTACGACTGAATCAGGGAGTAGTGCAGTCTTGTTTAGAGTATAAATACAACAACTTAAAAGCTATTAAAAGAAAAAGTAATATTAACAAATTGCACTTGCAGCAAATCAAGTATTTATTATGAAAAATGACTCCTTTCATACTGATACATAATTGCATTACTATTACTGATGCCTTGATGTTCAGGCAGCATTTCACTTTGTAGTTGGTCGATATGGAGCTAATTTAAATTACTTTATATACTGTTGGATATAATACTGTGTAACAGGGTGTCATATTCTATAAACTACACGTTCAAACAAATGTAGCTGTCAGTGGAGTAAAACCTACAATGTTCCCCTCTGACATGCAGAGTAGACGAATACAATGAAAACACTGCAATAAAGTACAAGTACTTTGTATATTTGTACTTAAGAACTTGAATAACTGTTGTGTAACCAATGGAATCAGACAGTGGATGCGATTCTAAACACAACACTGGCAACCAGTCATGAAATGGAAACGAAATAACACAAACAAACATGTTTTAAACTGTAAAGCTCTAAAGCTGATTCTGATTCTGAGAGTAACAGGTAGCTAGCTGGTAGTAGCATCTCTTATTCACCGCGTAGTCTTACTGTCTGATAAATAACGGACTTTTGCCATAAAGCAAAAACAGCAAATACACAGTCGTGACACCAGCTCAGTTTAAATAATCGGGAAGACATATTGTTGGTTGAGTAACAGCAACTACTGCACTGGTTAGCTTGTAACGGCTAAGAACCGTTGGTTGGTTTGCTAGCCGCTGTATGCTAACACCGTATAAGATAAGCTAGCTGTTTGTGAGCGTCATAATAATGCGACTGTCTGCACAACCTACCTCTAGTAACCAGACAAGACTAATATGTGGTGCATTTTTGTCGACATAGCGAAAGTAAGCGTACATCTATCTATAAACATCGATGTAAACAAAACCCCACAAGTTCTTCTTCTTATTATATTCTGGCTGATAACAGAAACCAGTGTGTACAGCGCCATCTACTGTACGGATGTGTGTCGCATCATGGCACCATGAATTATGGATAACTTTGCTAAGTAAATATTACAGATTTGAGTGAGCTCTGGGTTTTTAGTCAGTAATCCAGTAAACCTACTTGTTGCTAATAGAACTACATAAAGTTTGTGTTTGTGAGTTTCCTGTGCTTAAGTGGTTCCCTAGCTTTTTATCCCGTGACCCCTTAGAATAAAGCAATGTCTACTTGTAGCCCCTCCTGTCACAACATTCATATGTCAATGTGTTGTGGGAACTTGTTCCAACATAGAGTCATTTTTCCTTCTCAGATTCACAGAAAACAATCTTGTGACCCATTTAAGTCCCGACCCTCAGACTGGGAACTGCTGTTAATGCTTCCTTCCGTAGTTGAAAGACATGCAGGTTAGGTGAAGTGGGAACTATACTGTCATACATGTTATTGGCAAAATAGCACAGGTGTTGCTGTGATATTATTTCTGCCTGTTACTCATTGCGACACAGGCTCCTGGTATTGTGCATGCTGATTCATTGGGACAATGGACAGGGCAATCATTCATGTCATTAGTTTTAGTTGAATTGCTGTGAGAAAGACCCACTGACTCTAACTGTGGTTGTGTTTATCTTAGTTTGACTTCACATACAGAAAAGCAGAAAATCGCATTTTCAATACATTTTTAATGGCCACATAATGATTTGCATCAATGCTATTGAACATGAAATGTAGGGGTCCATCTTCTTGACACATGTCATGTTCATTGCATTTGTTTTGTCTGCTTCTGCTCTGTCAGTGAGCATTGTTCCAGGTCACTCACACATCATTCATGACGTCCATAATCCCTCAACTTAACCTCACCTTCACACTTTTATCTGGTAGAGGTCCCTGGTCTGATGACGTGCTCCATCCGGCATTGTGAGCATGTTGTGTTTAAGATAATGACATGCTGGTGTTTTCTATTTCATTTGTGTATTTTGTGCCACAGTGTCTAAAGACCTTATAATAATGAAGTATAGAAGATAATAAAAGCTAATACTTGGTTTGTGAGTATAAATACATGATATTGGCACAACATGGACCGTATTTGAAATATATCTTTGTCATTATGAATTATAAATAAATAATGATCAATCATCCATCATTTAAATTCAAGGCTTTAGGATTTTTAGGGGTTTGGGTAGAGTTGAGTAGAGTGGGTAGAGTCACTATCTATTGCTGAAGGAGGAACCAATGGTGACTGAGCCTGTGGCCCACTGATGAAAGTACTGCAGTATTGATATATTAGCAGTTTTGAGTCAACGCACAAAAAAAGGATAAAAATAACTCCTTCAACGCGATCATCTTCTGTGCTGTGGATCCATATTTTCAGCATGTTTCAAACACTTATCATTTCTCAATGCTGTGATCTCCTCGTAGCTCAGAGCCGAGCTTTACGGTATTAGCAAAGTGCTGATTGTTGGGAATAAACTGAGCCTGAAAGGTGCAGGTCAAATAAAGTGCAGGTTAGAGTTCTATTAAGTAATCCCTCAACACTGCAGCAGGTATAAATTAGTTTTCAGCTAAGAAGATCAAGAAATATTATTGAATTGGAATTTCATTACCCAATCTGCTTCCCGCTCTGTGTGTGCCTGTGCTTAAATGAGAAAGATGTCACAGAACATGATTTAAATGTGGGGTCATGTCTCTATTGTTGGGTTTCTGGTGATTGTTACATAACATTTCACAGCAAATCATCTTAGAGAGCTGAGTGACAGATTGGCATGTTTACCTGGGCGTGCACCATGGCAAGAAAGCCCCTCACACACACACACACACACACAAAGACATGCACGTGACTCTAGTAATTTCAGTGGACTTGACAAACATTTCAGTCAGATAACAGAGGACGAAGAAGACGAAGAGGAGAGAGCTGACTGGCGTTAAAGACATTCATGATGACCTCTTTCAACAACAAGGATCTATTATTTTCAATTGATCCAAAACTGGATATTCTTTTGCTCTTTTAACTATAAAATCACAACATTCTCTTTGAATATTGCCAGATTCATCTTTTGTTTTGGGCTCTGTGAATGAAAATCTGCCCCTGCATGTTGCATTGCTCTGGATTTAGCTGACGCATGTCGTCCAAGGTGACTTTCTCCATCTGGGATTCATCCTCTTTGGATAAACTACAACACCAGCTGTGTCTCAGGTCTGTTTCCTCCACAGGTTTGCTGTCTGGACACAGTGTTTTCTCCCATTTTCAGGAGAAAAACACCATCTATTAAAAGTGTTGGTGTGACAATCACAAACTGTGGACTAACTCTTCTGGCCCTTCTGGAATTTATTTCCGCTTCACCGTTAGTGTTCTGTGATCTGTTTGCACACAATGCAGAATACGTCCTTTCTGCAGGCTCGCTGTGAAGAGCCCATAATGACATCAGACTGGGGCCTCCCTCTGCTGGTGGCTCTGCTGATTCTGGCGCTGGTCTACGCCTTCCTCTACCTGCCGGCTACCGCCCAGCGAGCCCTGCTGGAGCAGGCGCTCCGCAGCAACAACACAACCACCGCGGTGACCACAGCCGGCAAAGACGACTGGCCCACAGATGAGTAGGACAGATGGAGACGCTGGCAAATAGACAAAGAGCTTCATCAGAGGACAAGTGTGAGACAGCAGAGATGGACGCTGCCCATGATTCTGCTAAGTGTAGTTTTTACTGGCCAAATATACATTATTATATTATACAGAATATTATCATATGATATATATATATATTATTATATTATACTGAATTCCCTGTGAGGGTGACAAAATGAGATGTCCTGATGTGTTTGTCAAAGTGTTATTTACTGCTTTTTTCATGTTGGAATAAAGGTTAAATATTTAACTGCAAAGTAGTAATACGTGTTTGATTCCTTAATTTTTTTGCATTAAATCATTCTGGGATGTTTGCTGAAATTGATTGGATGTGGCACAGCCCTACCTTGAACATCTTCCACCAGCCGCCACTGATATCATGTGGTCATATGTTAGACCAACTGAATCATGTGATATTATACAAAATCTAACACTTCAATAAGTATCATCTGTAGACAGAAACGAAAGATTGCACACTTTTCTTTCCAGTAAATGGAAAGATGAAATTCCCTGTTTGATTCTCAAAGGAATATTTTTACATGTTGGTAAACACACTTATTTGCTTTCTAACGGTCTCCTGGCTGCATATTCAACTTATAAACGTGAGAGTGAAATCTATTTTCTCATCCAACAGGTGCTAAGAAATGTGAATAAGCACTTCTAATGCTTTGTGAGCATGCAGGAGGAATATCTCAAACGAGACCTCTCACTGGTGGTTTGAATTGCCTTTATTAAAAGATACAGGATACTAGATTTGACACCAATATTTGACGATGCAGCACTTGATCGTTACAGGCATTGAACACAGACAAATGTTTCCAGCTGCCTGTGCCTTTAAAAATATCCCTGTAGATACTGTATCTGCAGTACACGGCAACCATTGACATCTGGATATTGCGTCAGTATCTTTTTTTTTTTTTTTTTTTTAAATCACATTCAATTTTACAATAAAGTCGTAAAAAAGGAAGAGAATCTTGCTAAACCATGCAACACCCAACAAGCCAACATTTACAGTTAGTCTTAGATCACAACGATTTCAAGTTCAATGTTCAATATGTTCAGCAACAATGACAATATCATATCCAAAGACTTAACACAATAATGATATTTCTTAATTTTTAAGGGGATTTAATTCATCCCTTGATATACGTCTCAGTATTCTTTCAGATACCATCTTAAAATGTTTAAATAATGCTCAAAGCAGAATTATATTCACATCTTGTGTCCTTGGTATATGAGAGAAGTTCAGAAAGGGCACACTTTGTTCATTTTTAATGAATGAATTGTATGAAATTATTAAAGGACATACATGCATCTCTTTCTACAATATGCACAGTTCAGTTACAGTCTTTCAAAACGCTCCACAAAGACTTGAGAAAACTGCTGCTTTCAAAGCACACAGCAATGTTAAAGTATAGATGCATGTTGTGCACCGTATCAGAGTTTATTCATGATTTGAAAAGACAATATTTGGACAGTTAGAGCGTAATCTTGTTGTATGAATTGAATTGATGGTGTGGATTATCACTCAGTTTTTTCTTCTTCAAGTTTGTAATGAGAAATGATATTTGTGGGTATGTGATTTGATAGTTTGAATCATGAAACCATGGAATTGAAGAGAAGTCATTATGGTAAATTGTTGAACGTCTTCCCTTAATCAATCCACAGATCAATCAATCGATACCCTAAGACATCCTTTACCTAAAGAAATATATGAAGAAAATACAGGAGTTAACCGACACCTTGAGAAAGTAATACAATCTCCAACGGCATCTTCTTTTCTTGAACAAATATTCTAGACAGGGGTTTCAAACTGGATTTTGCCACCCCTATTTAATTTCTATTTTGGGGATAGTTTTGCTCTAAGTTTTAGAAATACAATAATCAAAACATATATAAACCCTTGGGGGATGTAAACTGGAATTGCAATGTTGCCATTGATCTATTTTTAGCCTATATTTGTGTACATTTTGGCACACCATTGAAAATGCAGTATTAGCTCCTAGCAGTTCCTGTTTGCAGTGTACCGAAGGCTGTACATGCATCTGTCACTGGATTACTTTGATACTGAAGAAAACTTAAAATACACATGGTGATTCTGAGGCAATGTTTTTTTTGTAGATGTACATGTTTTTTTGCGATGGACATCAGAGACAATGATGTCCCCGGGATCCTATAAGTCACACTGAATCTAAAAATACGTTAATTATGTCTGAGAGACTTATGGGTTATGCATGCATTTTGACGCAATTTGTGACAACCAGGTGCTATCAAGGGCACAAATATGATCCACGCAAGTACATGCACGTAAATGACAACGCCTGGCACAGCCGGCACGATAACGCGACCCTGGTGAACATAATCAGCGTTTGTTTTTACACACCAGTAACTGAACAGACCGCCGTCCTCAAGGGGGCGACATGGAGCTAATCAGAGTGATTCCAAGATCACGGAGGTAAAAAAAAACCCAAAGAAGCTAGCTTCTGTGGTGGAATGTGTTTTCAGTTGCATAACTAAATATGTCGATGCATACAAAATGTTCAGCTTCACGCTCGCGTTGTGTAAATATTTTTTCATGACACAATCGCTGCAATGTGTGAAACCGATCTTGCGTCTGCGTACTAACGTGGATCATGTTTGTTCCCTCGAGGTTTTGAGGCCTTCATGAGCTGCATGTCACACATCAGCTTTGCCACATGTCACCATTCCTTCAACTATTATTGGTATAGTACTGGAATAATTCCTATTGAACATCCAAATGCACAGTATTTACATATTTCCTCTCTTCTCTTTGGGGACGTCTGTGTGACAGATATTGAGTGTTTGTCATTATGTAATGTGTGTAGGCCTATATATTGTATTTCCATTTGTGCCACAAACTGACTTCCTTTAATTGCCTGCTTTTGCAGACCACAGATCTACAGATGTAGAATAATCTGGAAGAAGAATATAAATGCAGTGAGAGAAGGCAGAGAGAGGGGGGGATTCTTTTCTCTAAAAGTTCCCGTCAGGACACCTGCACCGAACAGACAAGGAAGAAAAGGTAGAAGAGGAGACCGAGGAAGAAGAGGAGGGGAAGTAGAGCCTCCTGTCTCGGGACCATTGCGAGGCTGCTCTCACAGGACAAGATGGAGGAGGGTGAAAAGGGGAAGGAAAAGAGAGGAGGGGGAGAGCAGGAGTGAAAGACGGGAAGAGCAGCATCATCTCTCTCTCACTCTATTCATTCCAGTCCTTGTTGAGGTCGAAGTTCCACTCCCAGTCCAACAAGGTGTTCTTGTCGTCGTCGGTGAAGTGGGATTTGACCTGATAGTGGCCGCGTGACATCATGCCTCTGGGGACCTCGTCAACCGGGCAGAGAACCTCGTGCTCCTCCTCCTTTGGGCAGTAACTTCCCACCATGTGCGACACCTTCTCCACTGCAGGAAGACACAAAATGGACACTTGGAGCAATACGACTTAACTAATGCGGAAAACAAGTTGGATGAAGCCGTTTGTGGCTCCATGGGGGAGCTGGGTGAAGTCCAATAAGTTGTCTCAAGTGATGTCATTTGAGTCAGTGTCATTTGGTGATGAAAACTACAAACTATTACAGAAGAATCCGGGGATGTGGAGTTGTAAGAAAGGTGTGAAAACATATTACAATATGTATCAATATGTATAATTCACAATAGGTTAGTTTTAGCATATTGTTTGCATTTGATGCAAACAGTAGGCCACAAATTACAAATAGTAACTCTGATTGATGTTCGGTTATGTCTTATTGTCCCTTTATGATCAGCATCATTGAGAACACTAGATGGGTATTCCTGTATGTAGTCTTAACAAGGTGAAGCCGAGTGGCCTTACCCGTTATTCCTTTTCTGGAGGTCACATGATGGTACCGCAACCCAGCAACGATTTCTCTGTTCACCTGCACGCGCACACACACACACACACACACACACACACACACACACACACACACACACAGTTTCATCAGATCTCCAAATATTGTCAAGGACTTTTCTGACAGTGGCTGACAAAACTGGCACCCCTACTTTACCATAAACCTACTGTGACATGTATTTATCAGCCCGGTATGTTTAATTTTTCCTCTTTGACTTTTAGTCCCTAGCGTGGGTCAAGCTCCAAAAACAGTGGATACTACATTTCCCATAATGCAACTCAACAACTTCTTTTATTAAAAGCATTTGTAATTGTTGCTCGTTTTGAAGAGAACTGTATATAAATAACCTGTATCATTATCAATGTGTCTTTACTGCACAGATAGCCAATAACAGAGTTCAATTTTACAATTACACAGAAAGTTAGGATTTGTATCAAACTGCATTAAAAGACAGCAGTGAGGCCATCTGTCCAGCAGGTGTCCTCACAGCAGAGCAAAGTCAATCACTCTCTGAGCTGTTTGGTTATTCTGAGAACGTCTCCCCCCCCCCTCAAGACTAAATCCCACCAGTACGGTAGACGATTTGAGCCATTTTCAACCATGAAATGTCAATATTACAAATACACTACAACCATATCGCTCACAACTTAAAAACATGTTTAACTGTGTTTAACTCTTTAATCCTGAAGGGAACATGAATGTGTATGTCACAGCAATCCATCCAGAAGTTTGAGACTTATAACTGAAAACTACAAATGGGAACCTGGTGGAAATCAATACATTAGTTATAATAGAGATATTTCAGTGAAAGCCAAACATGTCAACCTGCTGGTGACAATAGGGGAAACGTCAAGAGATCACTAAAGTCAGTGGGCTTCATCCTCTGGGGGCCGTGAATGTCTGTACATGATTTCATCTCAATCCATCTGATACTTGCTGAGATATTTCAGTCTGGATCAAAGCGATAGACCGATCAACTGACATTGTCATCAGAGACACCTCACTCGCATGGCTAACAATACTATCAAAGAAATTTAAAAGTAATAACTTTTTACTTAATCACTATAAGACTTGAGAAACTTGCAACCAAAGAAAGAAAGTTGCTTCTCTGGTATTAATCTTTAATGGCACTATAAATGAAACAGCACTAAAAAGACTCATTAAATATGATAATGGGCTTGATTGATAACATGGTTTGATCGTACATTGTGGCTGACTCAGCACGGTCTCCTATCGCTTAATCACTTATAGTGAATACCTGATCATGTGTTGGTTCATTCCATCCAAACACACAGTGATCCATTCACGTTGTAATGTACAGCTGTGCTTCTCTGCTCTGAGGTTGCCAAAATTAGTTTTGCACAGTGTAACAAAAATCAAACATAATGGATAATTTATACAAAACTTTGTTTTTTGTGCTCACTTGAAGATACTTAAGCTACTTGTAGGCAACATTCTGTTACAGGGCAGTATTTGTGCACAGTGTCAGATAAAGACCAGGCCACACCAGACCAGGCTCAGCTTTTCTTAGATACATGTAGGGCGGCTTCAAGGAAAAAAGGTTGGGAACCAGTGATGTAGAGTAAACCTCTCCAAACCTTAAGATCCCTCCGTTACTGCGTCGATCCATCTTACCTTGAAGTGCATCTTCAGTCTGTACGTCACGCCTTCCTTTAGGGAGAGGGTCTTCTCCTTCAGAGCGCTCAGGTCTCCTGCACAAACAACAACCATCAAACATCCCTCATGGTCAACATGACTCATTCTGTATGATATCACCTGCTTCAGCATCTCAGAATGACTCACTACATGATCACACTGCTTCTGATTTACACAAATATATAAAGCTGAATCTTATTAGAATGACCATCTGGAGAAATTGCTCCTCTTTAGCCCAAAATATGTATTGTTATAAAACTAAAATAGGTTTTTATAGTTTTTATCAGATAGTTTTCCCTGTTTTTCCAAACTTTATTGATTAAATATCCAATCAAAAAGACATAGGTGTTGAGGTTTAATTAAAATTAGTAATTGATTTACAATCAGAACAGATAAGAGAGAAAAAGGAACTTGAATGTTCAAAAGAAACAAAACTAAAATACGTGCACAAAAAAAGGATTTTGAAACCGACAAGGAATTAAACATTGCATAGTTAATTCAAATAAGTTATAACTTAAATAAAGAATATAGTATGAAAGTTTTTCGTTCTTGAAAGCCGTTAGTAAGTCTGAGTTAGGTTTAATACAATAGCAGCTGGAAATACACAAATACACACTGGCATGTGTTTACTTAATAAGATAAATGTGGCTCACTGCAGGTCAAAATCACTAAAATATACACTTCACTCTCATTGTGTGAGCTAAATAAGAGGAATTGAAGTCATAAAAGTGGAAAGTCTTCTGCTTTTATACATAAGAGCTACTGGTACAAAACAGAATGGCTTCTTTGTTCAATAAAATCGTCTTTGTCTTGCTGTTGGGTTGAACGGGTTCATATTGAAGAGAGAAAAGTATCCTGGACCATTGTAAAAAGCACACAGCAATCAGAAATGCATCCACTGCCTAATCACTTTATATCTCAATTTAAACCTGACCATCAGTCCTGAGTGCCTCCTAATGGATGGAGAGAAGCAAGGGAAGGAGGAGAGGAGAGGAGATGGAGGAGAGATAGAGGAAATGGGGAGAGAGGCAGAAGACAGCAAAGCAAGAAAAAAGGAAGTGACTTCAGAAAACACACATAAACAGAACATAGTACATCTCTCCCTCAGAAGTGCAGCATTATAGGTTTGATTCCCACCGGCGTCACCCAAAATGAAATATATATGCACTTGTGCAACATTTAGGCACGAAGAATCGCCATATTGCTCTTTCTAATGAAAATCTTCGAACTCTACTTATGTTGACAGTCATATTTTCACTTAAATTGAGAATCTACATGCCCCCCTGTGGTTTGGTAGATTTATAGCACCATAAGAAATACTTGAAACTCCCCATTAAACTAAATCAGAAATGGATGTCATAAAGGTAATAAAGCTGTTCCTCACTGGCCGACATTTGAGAGATTTATCTCTATCTGTGTCTCGGTTCCATGGATTCCAGTTTCTCTCTCTCTATGAACTGTTGTATGTAAATCTCCTTCTCCCTTCTCCCTTCTCCTCCCTCCGACTCGTCTCCTCCTCTCCTTCCTCTCGTCTCAGGAGATAGAGAAAAGAGAAAAGATGCTGGCCTCCCCCGGGAGCGTCTGACTGAGAAAATAGGTCAGTGTGGAGAGCTGTCTACCTGTTCTCCTCACCCACACACGCACACACACACACACACACACACACACACACACACACACACACACACA